AAAAAAAAAAAAAAAAAAAAAAAACTATCAAATTCGTGTGTATTTTCCCCAATTTACAATTATAAAAAATAAGGCTGTTAGTTGGAGATCCAAGAGACCGTTCCAGTCAAGGCGCCATCCACAGGACACATGGCATCCGTGGAGCTCTCGTCAATGGCGCTTCGCCGCCTTCTTCCGATCGCCGCCGTTGCCGTTCCCGTTGCGACGCTTTTATTTCCTGTTTTTTATTTTGGCAGTGTACTAGTTTTTCTGGATTCGTCGATCTGAAGGCTCTTCCTCAAGACTGCTACGGCGGAGCAGACGATTGAACATGTCGAAACGAGGATCAGAATTGCTGCGGCGATGTATACGCCGCTCTTCACCAAATAGCACTCGCCGCTCAACCAGCCCGCACCGTATTGTTGCTGTCTACTCATACTCGTCGCCGCGCTCAGTAGCAATATCACCACGGTAAAGCTTGCCCTAGAACATCAAATCTCCTCTTGAATTACATTTTCGATTTGAATTGATTTTTCCGTTTCATGAATAATCAACTATTAGCAAATTCTTACAAATTTCTTTGAAGATTCTGAATCAGAAGAATGAATTATTAGCAAATTCTCAAGAGATTGAACATAAACATGAATGAGACTAGATGATAAGTTCTTGAAATTGAAGATTTATGACTATTGATTGGTGATTTGAATGACTTTTGGAAGGCTGATCAAACAGTTAAAACAAGAGAAATGAACCAAACCTACCAAGAAATAACAAGAAGAATTATGGCCAAAATTGATCTTCTAGGACGTTGTTGATCATTGCTTTTCTTCCCTCTTGAGTTCAAACTGCAACTTGTGCAGAACAAAACATTTCCAATAACTTGAGCAATAACCAAACACGCCAATGCTGCAACTCCATATCTAAATGCTTGACTTTCTGGCAAATAGCACAGTTTCCCATCCAATCTGAGATCTTTGGTCTACAAAAAAAAGAGGGAAAAGTTAGCTAAAAACCAAGTTCTTAATGAACAAACACACACTTGTGCGATGAATTCTATACCTTTGTTCTGTGTAATTCTGCAGCTATACACGACACAATGGCGACGAGTGCGAAGGAGACGACAATCGAGAGGCTTAAGGCGTAGACGAAACGGCGTTTTTCCATGGCGGGGTGTGGTGTTATGAGGAGAATGAATATAAAACACAGGAAAAGGCGTAGCTTCGATGTGACTAAAGAGGAAATTGGGAGCTCTTAAGGGGCTTTTCTATTTTGTGTGTGTGTGTGTAGGATTGCTTGTTGCTTTTGTGTTAGTTGTTGAAATTGTTCTTTCAAGAGGCTTTTTTTTTTTTTTTTTTTTTTTTTAGTTGCTTGGAATGAGAGTTACCAGTTTATTTGAGAACAACCTGTATGGAAAATTTGAAAGAATTGTATTTAATTTTCTTTAATAATTTCTTTTTTGGGAATTAATTTGACTTAGAGTTCAATTTAGTTAAATTATATTCAATAATTGCAGGCTATTTCCAATTAGGATTGGGGATATTTGCATGTGAATGAATGGAGGAAAATTCCAAGTTTTACATTGGATTTGTAAACTAATTTATGGCAGCAGGAGTGATTAACATTATTATTTAGACTCGTTCTAATTATTTGAGTGGTTAATTTTTTTTAACGATTATTTGTTCATTTTTTTTTTCATAAAAGTAAATTTTAATAAATAAAAGTTTGTCATCACTAGCATTGTCTTCTGAAGTTGTCATCACTAGCATTGTCTTCTTTGAAGTTTTCTTCAAGGTGTTTAAAACGAACTTGTTAGGATGAGGTTTACACGTTCTTGTAAAAATAATGAATAGTTTAAAAAGATATATTTGAAGAAAATTTAAAGTTCTTCGGATTACTCTTAAAGTGCTCTAGCTTCTAATTCAATCAAAATGGTATCTAAAAATCTTGGTCTATTGTTCGTTTATAGCAAAAAAGTTCGTGTAAAGATTGTGGACATTTGATATCCGGTAAAAAACTTGGTCTATATTACTTTTAATGTTTAATTCAAATCTTAATTTATGAACCAATTAGAAATCAATAACTTTTATTATACACTTTCTAACAAATGAGTCGTCAAATACATGAAGAATTAGAGATTAGACAAAAGAGATTCTTACTCCACTTTTTTTTTATGCACGTAGCCATCACTCAAGTGATATAATGAGTTCGAATCTCTTCACTCAAATTCATTAGACAATAGCTCCATAGATGCCACTCTCTATTATTGTTGAGTAAAGAATACCAAGATGAGTGTTCTCCTATTCCGACTTCCAGAGCTTCCGGTAGCACAGCCGAGATAGCGATGGGTTCTTTGCCCTTGCAGAGATGGAGCGACAGAAGTTTTGAGAATTCAAGACAAGGTCACGACGAGATGAGCCATTTTATCATCACTTAAGTGAAAGTGCAGTGTATGCAGTATGCAACTGAGGCATCATAACATACCAGTGAACTTGAACCTTGTTCCTACTTGACCGGATCAAGGAACGAAAGATAATAAAAATTTGATATCTTTTTTCATACTATTATAAGACGAATAATTATTTAGAGCGGCTGTCACAATGAAAAATAGTATTCGTTATCGACCATCACGCTATATTAACTAATTAAGTAAGTATTTATCGATTGGAATAAGATTCTAACAACCGGTCTCGAACTTTCAAATTATTTCTATTTAGTCTCTATAAAATGTTTGTAATGGGAAGGAATTCCATTAATAGTAGGGAATTAGCGGTTCAAGTTTGGTATTTAACTTTACAACAATATTAAGCTCATCCAAACGATTTTTTATTTTTATTTATTTATTTATTTAGTTTAATTTTCAGAACTTAAATGCCTTGCAACCAGGAAAAGTAGAGATACCAAAACCTTTCCCTCCAAATTAAAATTCGAATTCTGCCAAAAAGATAAATAAAAAACAATAATTAAATAGCTCAATACAAAAGCAGAGTCAAATTACCTCATAATTTCAAGAAATTCGCCGCCGGATGTTGCCGGCCGCTTCATCAATCGGCAATCTCCGACCACCAAATGCCCCCGAAACTGATCTCCAACGCAAAGCGCCGCACTCATCCGCTCATTTGGTTCGCTGCCGTTCTCTGTACTCTGGTTTCGATCGCCGTCATAATCGCCGGTGTCGGCGTCTTCATTGGCTACCTAGTGATCCACCCTAGGATTCCGACGATCAGTGTCATCGGCGCTCATCTTGATAACTTCCAGAACGAAATCGCCGGCCGCCTCGAGGTTCAGTTAACGATCCTCGTCGAGGCGGAGAATGATAACGCGAAAGCGCATGCGAGTTTCTCCGATACGAGTTTGTTCCTGAGTTTTCTAGGGCTAAACATCGCTGAGCTTGTAGCCGATCCATTCGATGTGAGGAAGAACGGCTCTGTCCAGTTCCATTACGCCGTGAATTCGATTATGATTCCTTTGAATCCAGAGCAGATGGAGGAAGTCGATTTCGCGTTGAAGACGGATCTGATCCAGTTCGATTTGAATGGGAACACGAGAGTTCAATGGCGAGTTGGATTGTTTGGATCCGTGAAATTTGTATGCCAAATTCATTGCGGGCTTAAATTTCATCGTTCCTGTGAATGTTTGCTGAATCCACCACACCTAAATGGTGTGAAAGTTATCTTATTTATAATCAAATAAATTACAAGGATATGGAAATAGTAATAAATGGAAATAACAATAAATGGAAAGATACCTATGGTAATAAGGCAAATGTTAGATATTTGCCTTATAATAAAATATCAAATATAATATATATGGTAAACTATAATTTATTACTAAATATCCTTAACACCCCACCGCAAGCTGAACGTCGGATTTGAACGAACGTGAAGCTTGAATCTGAAAAATTGAAAGTGGTTGAGAAACACTTTTCGTGAAGATGTCAACAACCTGGTTCAGAGGAGGAGTAAAGAAACACTTTCTTGGCCATCGAAAATTGCAGAGGGATCGCCGCTCAGCGGCGATGCTGCCTTGGCTTCGACGAGAATATGTCTACCCATAAACAGGAATTGTCGCTTAGCGACGATGTTACCTTGGCTCTGGTGAGAATATGTCTAACCCCAAGAAGTAGAAGGGGAAACCTAGAGAAAGGGACAAAGACAATGTTGAAGCCGGAAGAGTCGCCACATTGGGCGAAGGAGCCAATTTTGGCAAAAAGGGCAGCCGGAAGAGTCGCCACATTGGGGCGAAGGAGCCAATTTTGGCGAGAAGGGCGGCAGCAACTTGGTTGGCGAAGATGCCAGTGCGGCGCCTAGATTCCAAAGGTGAATCTCTGCAAAAGGTCGATAGGCTTATCGAGATTCTGTATATTTTCGAAGAGAAATGCTGATGAAGATCCTAAGATTAGGGTTTCTGTGAAGGATGAAGGATAAAGGAAAAATTGAGAAGAGAATGAAAGAGACTATGTTTGAAAAATGTAAGGTTGTATGTACAGAGTATGGTGAAGGATGATTTGGAGGTCAATAGGGTGGAGCCGAAGAGTAATTAATCGGCTCCGCCTGCGGTAGCCATGAAGACTGCTCCTGCGGCGTCAAAGGCAACAGGGGTGGTGGAGAAGAACAGTAGAAGATTTCAAAAGCCATTGAAAAGAAAGGATTTGGGGTTGTTAAACCGAAGGGGCTCTGATACCATGTGAATGTTTGCTGAATCCACCACACCTAAATGGTGTGAAAGTTATCTTATTTATAATCAAATAAATTACAAGGATATGGAAATAGTAATAAATGGAAATAACAATAAATGGAAAGATACCTATGGTAATAAGGCAAATGTTAGATATTTGCCTTATAATAAAATATCAAATATAATATATATGGTAAACTATAATTTATTACTAAATATCCTTAACAGTTCCAATGGAACGTACTTGATTTCGCCTTGTAGTTCTCGAGCGAAATGATTTCTCTGTTCTTGGGATAGTTTTAGTACAGAACAATTTCATTCCATTTCTTGGAAAATTAGACGATTCATAGTGCGTATTGAGAATTTTTGTTAGATTTAGATTAGCGAAATTGAGTTATATAATTTGTAAAATTATTTGAGTTATCTCGGATTTGAATTTAGTTAATATTAAATTAAATGGTTGTTTTTAGTGACATTATTTATATTTTTTATCGAAATTATAATGTCCTAATCAGTCGAATATAACGACAAAGTGAATAATTTTGTTGTATTAAAAGAAAAAAAATAATGGAGTATAATTATTAATAGACCCAATAATTAAATTTACAAAGAATAATTGAGATGATTTTATTAATGAACTAATTAAAAAAAAAATCCCAGCTTGATTTTGTTGCCTACGATTGGATGCTACAGACTGTAAATTCATAATGATTTTATTCAATTTTAATGCCATTATTGAATAATTAGTGGAAACTTTTTGTAAAATATTTTTTTAAAAAAAGTATTGATTTTCAGGACCTATATTTAGCATTTAAAAAATGGGTAAAATATGCTGTCAAAAGTTTTAATTTGTAGGGTAAATTTATAGCACTAGTTATTCTTATACTTTAAAATTTTCAATTTTACCCTTTAAATCTTTAATTATTTACTAGATTAATATAATAAATAATTTACAATATATGCATGGATGGCATAAGGCATGAATCTAACAAATTGACAAAACCAGCTAATTGACTCATTGATCTTTATATTGGCTCGATTTTCTTGAATATAAATTTAAAAAATAATTCGATGAATTTAGCTTTAGGTTGATATGGAGTAGTTTTGTGGGCGATTTTATAGATATGTTTAAAAGATTTGATTTTGACATTGGTATCAAGAATAAAATATTAGAAAGACAGAAAGCTAATTCGAGCATGCTCGGGATAGGACACTACTATCTCAAAAGTCCGTAATTTTATCTTCACTTCATAATTACCGAACTAATATATATATATATATATATATATTAAAGGAGGTCAAATATGTTGTGCCGCTAGGCTAAAAAGGCAAATTAGAGCAGCGGCCATTGCCCCTAAACCAACGAACAAATGCGGTCCCCTAATATTGGAAAGGATAAAAAGTTTACATCAAAATCCAGTTTTATTATATTCCCTTTTCTAGGTTCGTTCTTTTAATTATATTCATAATTTAAATACTTTTTGTTGATGGAGGACGGTACGTCTTATTTAATTATGTGATACTCAAAATAAATGAGGGATATATGAATAAACCAAGATCATATTCGAATGAGAGCAATTATGAGAATAAAATGACTAACAAAGTCTTGAATTGAAAGTCATTATCTATATTAACTATGTGCATCTTTTTTTAAGATATATTTAATATAAACTTAAGAATAATTTAGACTATTATTATTTAAATACTCGGTTTTTTTTTAATTAAAAAATCTTTTTTTATTGATAATTAACAATAATTTAGATATTAAATTTATAATTCAACCAATAATTTGAAAGGTAAGATTTGCTAGAAGATTTTGGAGCCGGGAAGAAATAAGGTCACAGGCTCTCCTCTGTTCCATAATATAGTGTAGCGACGATCATTGAGTGCGGGTGGACCCTCCAATGTTTCAGCCTATCACAGCCGTTAGATTGACGCGGCTTCTCAGTTGGCGGTAGACACGTGTCCTCATCGTCTTCGATTCTGGTTGCTATAAAGGCCCCTGAACCGGCCATGATTCTCCTCGCTCTGCATAGGGTTTAATCTCCGTCCTCTCTCTCTGTTTGCCTCTCCTTTCCGTCGCCTTAATCTTCCGCGGGCAATTTCTCGGCGTTGTTTCTTCTCAGTTATAACACCGGCGGTCTCTAATTCGCTTGGTGCAGGTCGGGAACTGCTTCGCTCTGGTGTGCGTTTGCCGACGGCCGGCATCTCCTCATCTTCTTTTTCTGTTTTTCTCTGCTTCTATTTCTTTTACTTTTTGCTTCATTTCTCTTGCCGCCGTGTGGTTAAGCTTGTTCGGGAAATGTTTGGGCGAATTGGATCCCGCCTTGCATCAACTGAATCGGAAACCGTGGTGAAGATTGCTTGGATTCTTACCTTCCTACAGATCTCAGGTACGGAGTTTCTCTTACTTTCGAGAGAGAACGAGTTAATTTAATTGTTCGCATTTTTCATGATTGGAGTTGTAGAGCTTTGTTGCTAGTTTCGATTTCTCTCCATGACTGAAATAATAACCGGTTTGAAAATTACTTAATAGATCTGGTCTGTGCTCTGAATCTTGTTTAATTATCTTTCTTCCTTTTTCGTCCGCTTTCGGAGTTGACTACTGAAGAGCTTTAGCTGTGTTTCGAATTGAGGCTAATGTTTGTATATCATAGAGCCAGATTTATTGTCGTTGAAGTTATTTGGTTTCTGTTTATTGCTTCCATCCATGAAACACAATGACAGATGTTACCTCTAATTTTCAACATAAAACTCCGATTCAACTCCGTATGGAATAACGGAACTGTTAGAACTTTGTGTATCATAGAGCCAGATTTATTATCGTTGAAGGTATTTGGTTTCAGTTTATTGCTTCCATCCATGGAACACAATGAGAGATGCTACTTCTAATTTTGACATAAAACTTCGATTCGAATCCGTATAGAATAACGGAACTGTTAGAACCTTATACTTCATATTCTGCTCCTGCTAAAAAATCTAAGGTCAAAGAAAAAAAAAGAGAGAGAGAGACAGAGATGACAATAATCTTTGAACTGCTGTTTACCTTGTAATAGTGTTTGGTCCAATTAATTGATCTGTTTGCTGAGTACGTTTTCCGCGAATGATGAGTTTGACAAAAAGGCGACCTGTTTGTAAGTTGTATTCTTCTGGTAATTCTTGTATGACTGTAGAATTCCCCGCCAAACCAGGTTTCCTGAAATTTTGTGCCCTTCGTTTGAATAGTGCAGAGTAGAACAAGAATAATGAAACTAGTATTCCGGAAAAGAGGGGATTTGTTTTCATTTGTCGGTTTATGGGCCCTCTGGCTCCATCATTCCATGATAATAGCCTATGAAAATGGAGACATTCCGATTCCTTCCGTTCGGAAATTAAGTAGAAGTGAACTGATTGTGTTTCATTGTAATAGGAAATAGCCAGTAGGTTTTGTGGTTGGTAGGTGGTTCACCATAAAAGCTAAAATTGCTTGTTATTAAATTATTTTTTAAGATTGTAATACCTTTTTTAAATTGTTCTTCGTCTCATTTTTACTAAGAAACCATTCAGGCGTATGTAACTTTTTGTTCTTGTGTTTTTTTGCTTTTTCTAGGTATATTATTAAAATGATAGTTGAATTAGTTAAAATTATATTTCAAAGGCATTTGAATGCCTCCTTCTACATGAACTCAAAATAGGGTTGAGATAAATTTTAATAGATTTAAACTCAACTTTCCTATTAAATCAAACATTGGACTTCAAAGTTAAAGCTATTTTGGATAGTACAAATTTAATATTTTTAATTTTCAACTTTAGGCATATGTTGCTGGTCATTATGGAAAAAACAAACCGTTGTCACTTGTATAAAAGCTTATCTTGTGAAAAGAAGACCTAACTATTGTGTTACTTATGTCTAGATAATATACTTTTCCGAGCATCTTTGCCTAATTGTCAATGTTGCTTTTTCTCCTCTCCCAGCTTTTAACTAGCTGCCACGTAGCTTATAGGAGCTGGATTTGAACTTTTGGTTTCTTTGTAACATTAATGACAACCATAAATTCATTAGGTTTTGTAATTGGCTTTCGTTTATTTTTGGTATGGGTCATGGTTAGCATATTCTGCATTATTTATCTAATTATTTTTAGGCTATGCAAGTTGAAAGGGATTGACCAAAAGAAAGTCATATTAGGTTTATTAATTTAATTTGCATATGTCATATTAATCTTTGAATTTTAAAATATGTCTAAGATGTATTTTGCATTTAGGTGGTGTCTAATCAATTTTTAAACTTTAAAGAATGTTATTTAATCTCTAAACTTTTAGTTGTGTTCAATAAATTTTTTGAATTTGTCTCAATTTTTTTCTAACCTAAATTTTTTTAAAACTTATAGTTTTATTAAACATAAAATTGATTTTTTTCCTTTTAAAACATAATTTTATATTGAGACGGTTTTTTAATTTTAAAATATAGACTTATTTGATATTTTGATAAAGTTTATTCTTAAAATCATTAAAAGCAGAAGCATGAATTGTTTCTAAAACATCTATTGTTGCAGAGCAAAAACATTATAATTATTTTGACGCTTGTGACGAATGATTTGTGATTCCATTAATTTGACTTGATTGTTGTAGTAGTAGTTTGTTTGTTTTTAGGGCCAAATAGATTTTTGATTCTTGAAGTTTGAAGGTAGCAGCATGTAGGTCAATTATTTTTGAAAATTTAAAATAAACACTTTTGATACTGAAATTTTAAAGTTCCTGCCCCTCCTTCCTCTTTTCTTCTGGTTGTGGTTGTTGCCCGGACTGCCTTCGAAGTTATCCACTTGTGATGTCTCACATTAGTTAGAGAGGAGAACAAAACACCCTTTATAAAAGTGTAGAAACCTTTCTTTAAAAGACGCATTATAAAGCCTCCAGGGGAACCCGAAAAGAAAAGCCTAAAAAGTACAATATCTGTTAGTGGTGGATCTGAATCGTTATACCACTACACGGAACATTTTTTTTTTCCTACATAAATATATTTGTAGTACTTTTCCCCTCTCTTTATCTTTTCCCTTTACCTTCTCTCTAAGCTTTTCTTTCTTCCTAAGATTTCATCCCTGTAACTTACTCTCTCTTTAATTACTTTTTACTACATTTATTTCTCTACGAAGCATAAATTTCTACCCATTTTTATACCCCATAAATTTCCCTCTATCTTTTGTTTCCCTTTCCATTGAGCATTTCTCTTAAAAATATTTCTCTCTAACTGCTGCAAACATTAAAAATAAATAAATAAACATTACCAAACATGATTTCACTTCATTATTTACTATAAGCTAAGAAATCAAAATGTGTTGTTTTTAATTAATTAACTGGAAAAAAAATACAATTTAACAAAATGATAAAAATGTTAGGGAGAGAACTTCGAGCCCTTCGGCCGTTCAATAACAGCTCTCTCCCCAGGATTAGTATATAATGTTAATTATAGTTTATGCCTAAAAGAATCGGTAAACACCATGGCAATTTTAACTGTAAAAAAACTGATTCTCTCCATTGTAGTGAGTGAGAGTGTCCAAGATTTCTAAAGAGAGAAGATAAAGAGTTCTTTACCCCAACCACGAGATTTTTCTTCCTGTTTTTTCTCTTAAAACTTGGAAAAATGTTTATTAAATCTTAAGAATTTTCTGGATAGTAAGGTTTTTAACTTTCAATTTTATGTCTAAGAGATCCTTTGATCTATTCAACATTTCTAAAATTAAAGAATCTATTGCACATAAAATTGAAATATTTAAGATCTTATTTGGAACAAATAACAATTTTATGTCTAATAGATCAGTTAACTTTTAAATATGTCAAGAATTTATTGAAAATTTAGAGGCTTATTAGACCATTTTTCAAATTTAAAAGATATATTACTCCCGAACCTAAAAGTGTACAAATCTGGGAGACAAATGAAGGGAAGATTTTAGTCCACGTTGACTCCAAAGTCATTACCTATTCTTAAAAACCCTCATGAAAGAAAAATGATCTTATATTTCATAGGTCTCTCTACCTTAAACATCGACTCTCATCCATAAGCTTGAAGGTTAACCAAAACTTCTAGAGAGAGAAGTTGAAGACATCAACCACAAAGCTTAAGGGATTTCTTTTTCCTTTTTTTCTGGACAGATATAAATGGGGTTGAAGTTTGAAGCCATGATATATATTTTAAACCAACTAAATTTTCCCAGCTGAACGGTCACTAACAAACTCTAATGGGTTCATCATTCAAAGGCAGCAACTTAAAAAACGACGCATAGAAGATGAAATTTACAATCACTATGCTCTTTACGAGGTTTGAGATGACAATAATTTACCTGAACATGTCTAGAACGGTAGCTACAGTTTGCAATCCATGTATGAGTAAGAATTTTGCACTTCAACAGGGCACCAAATCGTCTACTATCTCGCCTGCAAAAGATTGTTAAAATGGTAACAGCCAAACAAATATTATGAATCCAAGTGCCATATATCTTCAAGGTTAAGCAAATAACTTGAAGGAAGAAGTATACTATCAGTCTATTCAATGGTTAGATATGGATAATAATAAATAAGTTAAAAGATCATTATAATAAGTTGGTAAAAGGGTTAGACTGTTAATATAACATAAGAAGAATTAATATTGTAGAAATAATAAATCAAAATATCATTATAATAAGACAGAAAGTAAAACACGTGAAATACTAGTATTATCTCAATCAACACAAGAATAATGGCAATAAACTATTACTGAAAAAATAAAAAAGAAAATAAGCAAACTACAAATCTCGATTAATAGTACCTGTTTTGAAATATGATATTTGCAACTATTCTTCAAAAATTATTTTAAAAGATAAGCCTGCCCACTCAACTTTTTCGTGATAAAACAAACAAAGGCCTGTTTGAATTGTACTATAAAGAATTATGCATTATGAACTAAAGGGTCTGTTTGTATGTGTGTACTTTATTTTATATATATATATATATATAAAGGGAGAGAGAAAGAGAGAGAGATATAGTTATATATATGGATAGATATAGGTATCCATTTATAATTTCCTGATGCATCAACCCATTACCCTAAGATAAGGACAAACAAATTAAATACTTACCATGCATGCACTTAATGAAGTAGTCCAGCTCCGGAAAGCAAGCCGCTCCTTGAATCAAATCAGCAGGCTGCTGACGATATGCAAAGAAAGAGAAACGATGGCGATCAGGGTCATTCCTCGGTTTTGCCATATCAATAATTCTCATATGTCCTTCTCTGTCATAGCACGAAAGGGAATTTTCACCGGCTACAGCTAAGCCTCGATCCCAAGCAGAATTTAAAATCTGTAGACGAGGCATGGAAATTTCCCTTTAAAGGCATTCATAAGGGAGAAGGAACACAATAATAGAGAACAGAAACAGTTAAATTTCAACATGTTAATGGTTACTAATTCACACTAGATGTCGAGAAATAAAGAAATTGTTTTGAGACCAGTTCTCTGTCATTGCTTTCAAATCTGGTGCAAGAAAATTTTGAACAAACGACAGGTACACTTAATATTATTGATCATACTGAACTCATCACAATCAAGGCATTAATCAATGGCCAGAAAAATCATAGCGAAGGCACCCATAGAAGCTCAATGGTGCAAAGAAAAAGGCAAAAGATACTACAAAAGTTCATCACCTGCCAACTCAAACTTTCTGGATCAGCCAATGCATCATCCACTTCCTGACCAGTAACTGGCATGCCAGAGCATACGAGTTTGACTATTACAGAGTGTTTCTTCAGAACATCTAAAACAGGGGAGTAACCATCTTGGTTAGAGGGGTTATAAAACCCAGCTGTGAGCTCTGCCGCATGACTAGAAGTTTTGTACCACCAATAAACTGCAGGAATCTGTGTTAACAAAAATATGCATTTAACTGATTCCGCAATAAGTCCATGACTGGATGCCTTACGATTGATTGATAGAGACATGAAACATATCAGAAGCTGAACTCATGAAGCGAGGACCAAAGTTGGAAAATGAGTAACAGGATGCTGATTGTCTTAAAGAAGTTGTACCCATGATTGAAGATTAACTATGCAAGTAGGGAGTACAGATACGATGGTTGTACCGAGAAAAAAAAAGTATGCATGGGAATCAAAAATACAGCCGTTGTTCTACTGGAATTTTCATCCCTATAAAACATACAATGATAGTTGAGAGACATGATTATATACTCATGCTTGCTCAATATATTGACCTAGGCTTCGTCAAATGGAATGCAACAAACTTGGATAGGTGGGCGAATAATGGAGAAGACAATAGAGGAGAGACAGGACGAGAGATATGGGGGTTTTATCATAGTGTGACCCTCTAGATTCAACTCTCGAACCTCAAAAGCTCCAAGATACTAATAGACTCGTTTCCCCAGTTGGAAAATTCTGAACACTACTAGACTCTTTACTTCCCTCTTTTTCATAGCGGAATATATATTACACCCAAATCCTCTTTGCCACTTCCGATATAGACCCCCATTATTCTCTCTGTTAGTTCAGTGTCTTATACCCATAATGCCGATAAAATATAACACTCTACACTTCCTTTCTCACATAAAGTATATGTAACGTACAAGGGTTGAGTCCTAGGCTCCTAACATGTCTTACAAGTTACAACCAGGTATTGTGTATGTCACGCCCCATAACCAGAATTTGAAATCCGGATTCGGCACTTAATGACCCCAACATTCCCATGCATTCTTTGTGACATGGTCACATTACTTACTCCTCACTTCTAAGAGTAAAAACTATCCCTACAGACCAACAGAAGTCCTTCCAACATGTTTTGTCCTTACTAATATGCATTTTAAGAAAATTCTCAAAAGATCACCCATCGTAGAATTGCTCCAAGCAAAACATGTTTGACTATGGAGTTCGCACTTTGTTGGTATAGGTAGTGACTTTTAATTCTTTTAAGCTTTTCTTAACTATCCTATTCTAAGAATCGCTCTCATTCGAATGTGGTCTTCAGTTCGTTCATGTACCCCTCTTTTATTCAAGTGTCACATGCCCACCAACTGCGGGACAAACCACAACTCACTAGGAAAGGTACCGCTCTGATACCATTTGTAATGCACCATGTTTAGGATTCGGAATCCAGATCCGGGCATGAGGCATCAAAGTGTACCCATGAGAAGGAAGACTATTTAATGCAAGTCCCACTAACAAAGAAAAACCTACATTCAAACAAATCCCGAAGAAAATAATGTGCTCCAAGAAGCACATCTGGTCACGATGCTAATTAAAAATAAGTTCTCAATGAGAAGGTGACTTGTCAATGGCCTGATGGTGGAAAATTTCAAGAAGAATTAATCACCCAAAGAGCAAGGGACAAATTCATGATAAGGCAATCATTACGATAATTCACTAGCAACGGAAAAAACTTGCACAAAGCTAAGGTTGACCAGTGAGATGAACACTAACACTCACATACCTTAACGATAAATTTTGTTTCCTCAAAGACAAGGCTTGCAAGAGACAAAACATTATCTACATGATCTATCAGCATCTGCGCATACCATTGGAGGAAAAAGCGCCCGTAGTAACTATCATAATCACCTCGTTCACAGAAGAACCCTGATTCATGTGGTCTAGAATTGTATTGTCCAGAATTATCAGGTCCTCTAGCCCAGAATGAGTGACCACGAAGCCCAGCAGCTTTGCGCAGACTCTGTTGTAGATACTTATCATAACACTGCACATCAAATTTGCCAAAGTTAACAATCAGCTATCCAATGGTCCCAAATTATTCCACTTGGTCTTACAAGATGATGGGCCATTATGGTCCATTTTTATGTGTAGGTTCATTACTTTCAAGCAGAACTTTCAAGGTCTCATATAGCATGACAATTGTTGTCTATACTACATGCTGATAGAACCCTCCTGACATATGAAACACAATACTCAATGAATACTAAGAATGGGAGATTATCAATATGATGAAGAGAATGTTTAAGAGATACCTGAAACTCACCAATACCAGGATAGCTCCATCCAATTCTTTTTGAGAAAGAAGGATATTTTAGTTCTCCAGATACCCCCAGTCCTACTTCAATAGCAGAGACAAAACCCTCAGCAAACAAATCATTGAACTCAGTATGAAAGCTTCGCATGAAGTCAAAATAGACCTATAAATATTTAAGATTCCGTTAGGTACATAAATCCAGGTTATAATAGGGGTGATAATATAAAAGTATCTCATGGCCAGAACTGGAAAGAAAATTGCATCATAGGCATATAGAATTCATCAAAGTAAAATAAAACATTAGATATATAAGGTTATCACAGTTTGACACCCTATAAGTTGCAGTGTTATAGCACACAAAATGCTTCATCACCTCCATGCCAGTTCTTCCTCTTAAAACTCGCTCTTTGTCAATGCCCCAAGATAGACAATCCTCATTCCTCCTTCCTTCACGATCTGTAAAGAATATATCGGGGTTTTCCTTCCCTATCTCCAAAACCCATTGTGGGAGGTTGATATATGCATCACCAGATTCAGTTCCCTCACATGCATGGAATGCCATCACAACCTTTTGAAAAAACATTTCCAAAAGTGATTAGACAATTGTTAGGAAATAAAGACAATTAACCATGGTTGTTTTATGAGCTTTAGACAATAATCATTAATCACAAATGCTCCTAAAGCAGGCTATGCATTTTCATGATCATGATCGCATCTCAGAGAAATACCTCTGAAACCCAAGGTTAACGGTGATTCTTATTTTAAATCCAAAATACATAACAGCAATTTGAGGACCGGTAAAACAAAAAGAGACTAAATGAGACAACAATCCAGATGGGTGCATAAGCAGCAAGTAAAGGCCATATTAGAATACTCAAAACGATCCTAAATATGACAAGAGTTTGTTCCCATCAAGATCAATGCAATGATATAGCCTTTTGCAACTAATTGGCCAATCAATAAATTGGGTTCTCTGGAAATGTAAAAATCATGACGAAGTAGATAACATAAACAATTTATGTTGGTGATAAAATAAACAAAGGGAAACTCCTTAAGGACTTATCTATAGCATATATACCGATGGGTTTCTTCTACTTCTACTTTCATTTAGATTTCACATGATTTGACCTACATACAAATGGAGCCATACGTGCAGCTCCTCATTGGGAAGTTACCTGCAATTTCAGCTTGAATTCTCGTATGATGTTAAAAAGGTCTCTATAGCCAGACCACACATACTTCTGTGGGTTCCAAGCTTCTATGATACCCCACCAACAATCCACAATAACACCATCAACATTTAGTGCTTTCAAATGACTTAACTCCTGTCTAACGCCATCGGGATCAATCAATAGACAGAAGTTGTTTATAAAACCAATCTGGCATGAAAATTTGGAATACATTAGCGATTAAAATTTTGACAAAGTGAAAACGACATAGAAGGTAAATCTGAAGGAAAAAAAAGAGTAGAAATGATTAATACGCAAAAAAAAAAAAAAAAAAAAAAAAAAAAAAAAAAAAAAAAAAAAAAAAA